TGTTGGTAGCTCCCTTTATCACCGATCGGTCGCACAGAACCTGGTGGCTCAGGGTGCTTGCTTGAGTAGATTGTGCCGTTACACGGAAAACGGAAACTAAACCAATCCATTTTGGGAGCAGGGAGCCAGCAGGATATCGAGAACTTCTGTCTACCGTACTTGAGCACTCTCGAGTATCATATGGCGGTATTTGAGAGGAAGACCCCCGGCCAGTGACAAGTGTCTAGTACGCTCCACACAACTATTATTCCGCCTTCGCGTTGTTTGTACGAGTACCTTAGCACCTATCATATCAAACATAATTCCCATCACCCTCCCATACAATTGCGAAATATGCCTCGCTCGAAATAAGTACAGTATACTATACCCACCAACGGGGAAACCGCCAGAGAAAAAAAAAAGCTTTATCTACCCATCCCATGCAAGAAGGGATCAATAAATGAATTTTCGTTACTCTACTGAAAGAAGAAGGAAGAAAGAAAAAAACCCCCATCTTTCCTGGTCGTTGGAAGGCTATCAAATTTCCCAAAGAGGGGAGCAAAAAACCGCTACGCTATACTCCAGTGTCCCCCCTCCCCGAAGGGAGCGTACCGTACGGCACCTAGCGCTGGGCAAGAGAGGGATTCGGCATGGCTGACGGGTTTTGATGACTGCGTTGGGGAAATGCCGTAGGGTAGATGGGTATTTCTAAAAGGATTGTTTCACTCGGCGTTTTTTAGGATGTAATGTGTAAACTCTTGCTACTGATATTATCGCAAGGTCTGAAGGGTAGTATGGTGGAAGACGGTTGTGATGCTGGCTGGGGTCTGGTTAGACGGTATGATAGAGCTACGATAGGATGGTTAAGTAATTAAACCCTGAGGACCAAAGTCCTCATTGCATCACCAACACCGTTACCGTGGCCAGAGCCAACGATTGCCCCATCAAATCTGGAAGATCTCATCAAAAAACAATGCCGGTGCCGGTACTGTATTTCTGCGGCACCTCCCGCGCCAAGCGAGTTGCCAAGCCCAGCGAGCTGCTCTCAGCCTCATAATTCATAAACCGGTACCCGTATGATACTAGTCCTAATATCAGATCGTGCAGCACCATATCCCCAATTCTCAATCCCTACCCCCTTTCTTTAACCACAGATAACATGCCACCAAAACCCCGCCCCTCCGAAGCCGTCGCAAAACCGCCCACAGTGCTCGCCTCCACGGTAGTGATCGCGGAAACGGCCTCACTGACAGGCACCTTCCCCATAAAAATCGGAGCAAACACCGTCATCCACCCGCGCGCGAAGCTCGCGTCGGCCCACGGGCCCATCACGATAGGCGAGCACTGCATCATCTGCGAGCGGACGCAGATCTGCCCGCCGGATGCGGAGGGTTTGATCATTGGGGATGGAGTGGTGGTCGAGGTCAATTCTGTTGTCGAGGGGAGTGTTGTTGGGGCTGGCAGCGTTGTTGAGGTTGGGGTCAAGATTGGGAAGGGGGGAAAGGTTGGGTTGGTATGTTTCCTTCCACTCTTCTGCGAGGGGGGGAGGGGTGAGATGTGCTGATTTGGGTGGGGGATAGAATTGTAAATTGGGACCGTTGACTAAAGTTCTCGAGGGGGAGGTTGTCGAGGATAATACTGTTATATTTGGAAGTGGGCAGAGGAGGATTGATGCTTCGGGTACGGCGGACGCTAGGAGGAGGTTGCTGGAGAGACATATTGAGAGCTTGAGGGTTCTCATACCCAGTAATCCTTCTAAATTTATTAATTGATGTAGTTCAAAGCTCATTCTTGAAAAGAGGTTTGTGGATTGTAGAACGCCCACATGTGTTGGATGGTGATCGAGGAAACCATTAAATTTAAAAGCCCACCGATGGGAGGGACCAACTAGCTGCTAGTAGTACTCAAGTACAGCACAGTGGAATACCATCTCCTCCCGTCAATACTCGAGTACTCGAATTCAATACAGACCTTGACCTCATCTACACAAAGCCCCGTCCGTGGTTGAAAACACGTTCCTTCCACCCTCTTTAAACATTTGCAGAGTTGTGGGAAAAAATCAAAACCGCGGGAATCCTTTTAAAGAACGGCTTCAAGCGAGGTGTAATTATTACGGGTATTCTAACCGGCAGTCTTTGATCACAAAAAAGTACGATTATTCTTTTCCTCTGCCATCACAAATATTTGAGTGCATAGGCACCAGTATGCCATTTGATGATTGAAACTGCTCACCCAAGCAAGAAATGCTGCTTGTATCATAACATTCCTTGTGGGGGTAGAAGTCAGAAGCACGGTTTACTCGTTGCACCCGATGCCCATCTCCCCCCACTCTGATCCATACCCGCCAAGGCGCAAGTTGAGGAACCGTCAGTCTACCCATTCCCTTGCGGACGTCTCGGTTGGCCAGGTCACAACGGGAGGTGAGGGATTGATTCCTTTGCTTCGGTTAAGTTACGCTTGAGTTATGGTTGGCAAGCCAGCCTAAACATCCATCATCACTCTAGGTTCGAGGGATAAAAGAGGCTCAGCTTGTTGGTGACGTGGAGCTAAGACAAGGTTATATACTAAGTTACGCGAGTTCCAAAGGGGAGCCTTTGCATGACTCGGGGAATTCTCAACCATCATGAGTGAATCCCTTTACCGCAAAAAAGACAGGTAGGCGTTACCCATATTTCGCCCCCTTCGCGCCGAGATATTTACTTCATTCATCTTCGTTAGATTGTCGTTCGTCTCCCGTGACAACACCTTGAACCAGACTTCTACCGGTATCATACCCGAATTATTGCTCCCTCGACTGCCCTGGTTATAAACCCTTCCGGGCGGCAAGGTGTCTAAGCTTTCCCCACCCTACCGCCTTCATCAACGGCAAGCTCCCGCTCGAAAGGAAAAAAGGAAAGAAAATGCCCTCTCCGACACTCCACGGCTCCTCACGAACCCGTAAATGGATATTGTCGAGTCCGCCGGTGGAATGGGCTATGATGCAGTTGCAGGAGCTGTTGGTCAATGCTCTACGCCAGGGATCAGTTCCTCAACATGTCGCTTTCGTCATGGACGGGAATCGCAGATTCGCTCGGAGTAATCATATTGAGACTGTGGAAGGACATAATATGGGGTTCGAAGCACTGGCGAAGGCGCGTTGCACCTCCCACCCTCTCTTTGAAGGAGGGTAGCTAACGGGGTTGGGCATGCAGATCTTGGAAGTCTGCTACAAGGCTGGTGTAAAGGTGGTCACCATATACGCATTTTCAATCGAAAACTTCAAAAGACCCCTCCATGAGGTTAACGCGCTTATGGAGATTGCAAAGATTAAGCTTTCGCAGCTGTGTCAGCATGGGGAGTTGATGGATCGGTATGGAGCGAGTTTAAGGATTCTGGGACATCGGTCGTTGTTGAGACAGGATGTGCTCGAAGCTATTGAGCAAGCGACAGAGATGACGAAGCATAATGATAAGTATGTTACCCACAGTAATCTTTCTTCTCCTATTGTCCTATAAAGGGCGTTGCTAATGGGGGTATGCCTCAGGGCCATTTTGAACGTCTGCTTCCCGTACACCTCCCGGGATGAGATGACCACTGCAATTCGGGACATTGTGTCCTCGTCCACTATTCCACACACTTACCCGCCCTCCCCGTCACCTAGCGATTCGTCCACTTCAACCTCCACCTCTTCTACATCCTCCGACAAGACTGCGACTCCGGGATTGATGGACATCGAGTCCATAACCGAGAAAACTATAACGCAACACATGTTCACGTCGGACTGCCCACCGCTGGACCTCCTCGTGCGAACCAGCGGCGTGGAGCGGCTAAGCGATTTCATGATGTGGCAATGCCACCAGGACACCGACATTGTCTTTTCCGACTGTCTCTGGCCGCAATTCGACATCTGGAAGTTCCTGCCCATCCTGATCAATTGGGGCGTCAAGAGACGGAAGTTGGAGAAGGGGAGGGGCGACGTAGAGGTTCGGGGCGTCGGTATGGGCATGGGCGTAGGTAAGGGTGGTGGGTATTGACTATTAGTGAGAAAGGAACGGGGGTGGGTATATGGTGTTGTTGGGGTTGTCTGGATGGGTATGTTTGGCGTGGTTTGGATGCTGGCCTGGGGGTGAGGTGTTTTGCAAGGATGGAGTTGTTATACTTGCTTGACTCGGTCTCTCTCTCCTTTTTTTTTTGTTCGGAGGTAGATATTTTGATAGAGATTTTGTGCTGTATTTTTTTGCCCGTAATACATTATATCCTTTGTCTTACTTGTACAAGTATTCTGTGGTAGGTTGAGCTTGGTTCTAAAGTCTGCAGACTTCAGAGCGTCCTTGCATCCTAGCAGATGATATCACAGTGGGTGACAGAACTGCCATAGTCACACAAGATCAAGTGGCCGGAAGAGTGTTCAACCGAGTGATTCGCCATGCTCTTACGCCAAGACGGGCTTGGCAGCCCTGACGCAAAGCTTTCCCTTCAGATGCTCGAAATGTCTGCATCTTCCTGGTTCCCAGAGCTTCTCCATATTATTATCATAACTCGACACTTATAATAAACCTCTCTCTTTAGGTCCTCAATCACCATGGACCCCTAGTGTCGGTACCCCCCAGCACTTCAAACATTTTTCTACCTTTTCTTTTTTTTCTATTTCCATATTTCATCCCTCACTTGAGACCTCCTTTTTCTCGTACAAAACAAGCAAACAAAGATAGATGTCAAGCTATATCCGCGTTTCTTCCCCTTCGCCTTCCGACGAGTCCTCTGACCTCGACCTCGACCTTGAAGAGCTAGATCCTACGAACGGGGGTGGTGGGGTTGGTAGTGGTGGTGGTGCGGGCTATTCGGTAGGGTATAGGTCTATACTTGGAGAGAACCATAGGTCTTCCTTTTCGCCTACAAGACGCGGAAGAGCATCTGTTGACGGGGCGGGTGGGCCTGGGAGGATTGCGTTGAGGAGGATGAAGGGACGGGAGGGGTCGGAAGATGAGGAGGCGTTACTGGGGAGGAGAAGCGAAGAGGAAGACACGCATCATCAAGGGGAACTTTCAACCCCCCGAGATGGGAGTGTGATAGGAGGCGGGGAGAGGCGATTGGTACGAAGATTAGGATCTCGGATATCTCTACGATCCATCGCTGGCGAAGGCGCCGTTATCGACTTTACTCCCTCGAAGGAAACAAGGGTCGTGGGGTTGAGGCCTGGTGGAACTGGAGGGAAATACCCACCTAATATCATCTCGAATCATAAATTTACAGCCTTCACCTTTCTACCGCTTACTTTGTGGCATGAGTTTAGCTTTTTCTTCAATCTTTACTTTTTACTGGTTGCCTTGAGTCAGTGCATTCCGGTGCTCAGGATCGGGTATCTAAGCTCCTACATTGTTCCCTTGGTGTTTGTGTTGTCGATCACTCTTGGCAAGGAAGCGCATGACGATATCGCTCGGCGGAGGAGAGATACGGAGGCTAATAGTGAGCCATATGAGGTTCTCTCATTCACGGAGGGTAGGGTGAAGGGGGTTGGGCAGGGCAAGAAGAGGAGCGCTCCGGAAATTGAGGGCCGGGAGCTGAGAGAAGGGGGTGATGATGTTGTTAGGACTGTGTCCAAGAAGAGCAAGGATCTCAGCATCGGAGATATTCTTGTTCTCAAGAAGGACGATAGGGTTCCGGCGGATGTGGTTATTTTGAAGTCAATCTCGAATGAAGTCAATTCAGCCGGCGAAGGCGAAGGCAATGATACCTCTGGGGAGACATTTATTCGCACCGACCAGCTGGATGGGGAAACGGATTGGAAATTGAGACTTGCGCCGGCACTAACTCAAGCTTTGAGTTCTTCCAATCTGGCTCACTTGATAATTACCGCTTCTGCGCCTTCGAAGGAGGTTAATAGCTTTGTTGGGTCGGTTTCTTATGATCCTCCGGCTCGGGGTCCCACTACTCCGCCTACACAGGGCCCATCTATGCCTTTAGGCCCTGGCGCCTCTTCGTCCTCGCTACCCGCGCTTCTGGCGACGGCGTCTTCGTCGGTAGGATTGTCGGTTGATAACACTGCATGGGCGAACACGGTCTTGGCTAGCAATTCTACTACTCTAGCTGCTATTGTTTACACTGGTCCGGAGACGCGAGCGGCTTTGTCTACATCTCGCTCGCGGAGTAAGACTGGGTTGCTGGAAAAGGAGATCAACGACTTGACCAAAATTCTTTGCATTCTGACGTTTTCACTCAGCATAGCGTTAGTGGCACTTGAAGGGTTTGAAAGTAGCCAGAACCAGCCAGATGCCGGAGGCCCCGAAGATCCCGGCGAAGTCATCAGCGGAAGCTGGTATATCAAAATTCTCCGCTTTTTGGTACTCTTTTCCACCATTATTCCTATCAGCTTGAGGGTCAACTTGGACATGGGCAAGAGCGCGTATGCATGGTTTATCGAACACGATAAGGGGATTAGGGGCACTGTTGTCAGGACCAGTACCATTCCGGAGGAACTTGGAAGAGTGGAGTACCTTCTCAGTGATAAGACTGGAACCTTGACGCAGAACGATATGGAACTGAAGAAGATTCATGTTGGCACCGTTAGCTATGCTGGTGAAGCTATGGATGAGGTCGCGGATTATATTAGGCTTGGATTTTCTACCGGCGGTGGCAATGATGCACTCGGCGGTGCTCAGGCCCTTCCCGCGATCCATTCGAATGCTGCTGCCACTAGGGCTAGGAGGGAGATTGGGTCCAGAGTTAAGGACGTTGTCCTTGCGCTTGCGCTATGTCACAATGTTACGCCTACTACTGCTACCGAAGAGGGCGCTTCGGAGGCCACAACTACGTATCAGGCGTCAAGTCCGGATGAGATTGCTATTGTGCGATGGACAGAAAGCGTTGGGCTGCGGCTGTCGCACAGGGATCGCAAAGGGATGAAATTACAAAGCGCCGATACTGGTGAGGTTGTGGTCCGCGTCAGGATATTGGAGGTCTTCCCGTTCACGAGTGAAGGGAAGAGAATGGGAATTGTCGTCCAATTTATGGTTGGCGAAAGGAGCAAGGAACCGAATCTTCTTGGCGGTGCGGAGGAGGGAACCTCTGGTGCTGGGGACATCTGGTTCTACCAAAAGGGAGCGGATACCGTCATGTCCTCGATTGTTCAAGCTAATGACTGGCTGGATGAGGAGTGCGGTAATATGGCCCGGGAGGGACTGAGGACGTTGGTTGTTGGGGGGAAGAAGTTGTCCCTTCAGCGCTACCAGGAATTCTCTGAAAAGCACAAGGCTGCGTCGTTGTTGCTCGTTAATAGGGAGAAGGAGATGGGAAAGGTCGTGGAGGAGTATCTTGAACATGACTTGGAGCTATTGGGGGTGACTGGTGTTGAGGACAAGTTGCAGAAGGATGTTAAGCCTAGTTTGGAGCTTCTCAGGAATGCAGGGATCAAGATTTGGATGTTGACTGGTGACAAAGTTGAGACAGCGAGATGTGTTGCTGTTAGTGCAAAGCTGGTGTCGCGGGGACAATATGTGCACACTATTGCCAAGTGTACTCTCTCTTACTCCTTTACTCTCTCACCTCCGGGCTATACTAATTAGGGTATGATCATGCAGTAAAACGAAAGGACCATGCCTACGATGCCTTGGGGTTCCTCCGCAACAAGACAGACTCCTGTCTCCTGATCGACGGCGAATCACTCGCCCTCTTCCTGGACACGTACAAATCCGAGTTCATATCCCTCGCCGTACAGCTCCCGGCGGTAATTGCCTGCCGCTGCACCCCTACCCAAAAGGCCGACGTGGCCCGGCTCATTCGTGCCTTCACCAAGAAGCGCATATGCTGTATCGGTGATGGTGGGAACGACGTCTCCATGATCCAAGCGGCAGACGTAGGCGTCGGTATCGTCGGCAGGGAAGGCCGTCAGGCTAGTCTTGCGGCGGACTTCAGTATCGAGCAATTCTGCCATCTAACAAAATTACTAGTATGGCATGGAAGAAACTCGTATAAACGGAGTGCAAAGCTCGCGCAATTTGTTATGCACAGGGGTCTTGTGATTAGCGTTTGTCAGACGATGTTCAGTATTGCGTCGAGGTTTGAGCCAATTGCGTTGTATCAGGGATGGTTACTCGTTGGGTATGCCAGTATTTATACCATGGCGCCGGTGTTCTCGCTGGTGCTGGATAGGGATGTAGATGAACGTTTGGCGAATCTTTATCCCGAGCTTTATAAGGAGCTTACAGAGGGGCGGTCGTTGAGTTATCGGACGTTTTTCGTTTGGGTGCTTGTTAGCATTTATCAAGGTTTAACCATTCCCCGCTTAATTATGCTCGACTAGCAGAGCGTTGATGAAAAATTATAGGAGGGATAATCCAAGGCCTTTCCCAAATCCTCGTAGGACTCGACCGACTCGAGCGCATGGTGTCCGTGAGTTTCACGGTACTTGTATTGAACGAGCTTATAATGGTAGCATTGGAAATCACAACTTGGTAATTCCATACACCTCTCCACTTCCTTCCCCTTCCCTCCCCCTCCCCTTCCATTTCCCCTCCAGCTGACACCGATGACAGGCACATGTGGATGATATTCGCAGAGCTGGGGACAGCTATCTTCTTCTTTGCTTCGATTCCCTTCCTGGGCGAGTACTTTGACCTCAAGTACGTCGTCTCGTGGGCCTTTCTGTGGCGCGTCGTGGTCATCAGTGTGATTAGCCTCGTGCCGCCTTGGGTTGTGAAGACGGTTAGTAGGAGGTTGAAGCCGCCGAGTTATGCTAAGGTTCGGGGGATTTGAATGTGAGTTGTAATTGCATGGGTTGGGCGTTTCTCCTGTTTTGTTTTTAGATGGCAATGGGGAGGATAGGTGAGGGGGGATGTAATTTATGATGGTGGGCGAGGTGTTTGTGTTTTTTTGTGATCTTGTACGTTAGTTTTCATTTTTTTCCTTTTCTGTCCCGTTATGTTAGTTTCTTTTTGTAGTTGGCGGTGGTGGATGGTGTGGGTTATGGATGTTTTACGCTGTGTAGAATTTAGAAGGAGAAGAATATTGGTCCAGTCAAAATTCCTATACTGTACCGTATTATCATTGTTCAGTGTGCTGAGTCTATGAGAGTCCCTAATTACGAGCGCGAGTGATGGTCCATGACCTGTTGTGCCCATCACACTCCCCTGGATGGAGTGAAAGGTGAGAATATATATCATACCATAACCCCCCTCCCTCCCTACTCCCACGGGTAAATCCCTACCGCTCCAGGAACCGGTAGACAATCGACATATGATTCGTGCCACCTAAGACCTGCATGGGAG